CCTCCGCGCCCACCTTGATGGTCACGTTCCCCTTGGTGATCTTGCGCATGTTGAACCCGACCGTGGGGATCATGTCCTCGTTGAACTGTCCTGACTGGAGGGAAAGTGGGGGTTGGAAAAGGGGCAAAATCGACAGGACCCGCCCTCAAGGGCCTCATCAAGAGGTCAGAGGGGAGCATCGTCCCCTGCAGGTGGTAGAGGTCAGGGTTCGGTTCCGGTCAGGGCACAGGCCTGGGTTGCAGGCTCAATCCACAGTGTGGGGCGTGCAGGAGGCAGCGATCGATGATTCTCTCTCATCAGGGATGTTTCGCTCTCTCTCTCTCCCCGTCTCCTTTCCTCTCTGAAATCAATAAAAATATATTTTTTTTAAAAAAAGGAAAGAAACCAGAGGACCCACAGGCTCCCATGAAATTGAAACTCCCCCCTGGCAGACATTATCGTGAGCAAACGGGGTGCCAGTGCCCCTGTGACCCCGCTAATGGGGGGCCCCGTGAGGACTTCCTGTCCCTGGTCATGTCTCTCGGCTCACAAGCTCCTCACTGGAGACCAACCGTGGACCAAAAATATTAAGGGGGGAAAGTTCCAGAAACACACAATTCCTAAGTTTTAAATCGGGCGCCGTTCTGAGTAGCGTGATGACATCTCGCGCCACCCCACGCCGTCCGGCCGTGAATGGGCCCTTTGTCCGGAGGCTCCACGCTGGGCCGCGGGCAGGACAATGAGACGGTCTGTAGCTTTTTCAGTTCGTGGCGATAATGGTTCTGTGTTGTTAGTCACTGTTGTTCATCTCTTACTGAGCCCGGTTTTCAAAGTAAAGTTTATCCCAGGTGTGTGTGTGCAGGGAGAAGCTCGGTAAAGAGCCCTGGCCGGTGTGGCTCAGTGGACGGAGCGTCGGCCTGTGGACCCAAGGGTCCCGGGTTCGAGTCCGGTCAAGGGCACGGACCTCGGTTGCAGGCTCCTCCCCGGCCCGGGCCCTGGTTGGGGCGCGTGCAGGAGGCAACCCATTGATGTGTGTCTCTCACATCGATGTTTCTCTCTGTCTCTCCCTCTCTCTTCCGCTCTCCCTAAAAATCAACGGGAAAATATCCCCGGGGGAGGATTGGGGGAAAAAAAGGAAAATAAAAAAGAAAGCTGGGGAAGGTAGGGTTCGGTGCTACCCGCGGTTTCAGGTATCCATCGGGGTCTGGGCATGTATCCCCGCAGATAAGGGGGGGACCACTGTGACCCTAAAGTCAGCTAGCCCAACTCTTGTCTGCACCGTGAAGCCCCTTGGGGTCGGCCCCCCCTCTCCCAAAGTTCTCTGTGAGTCAGACATCCATCTTCCTGCGACGCCCACCCCCGTTCCTACACCTCCCCCCTCCCGGGCACCCCACGGCGCACATTTAAGTATTTGAGGCAAAAACACCCCTCCGCTCCAGCATCCCATTTCAGATGAGTTTTAGGTTCACGGGTGCATTGTCTGTGCTTTTTCCCCCAGCTCACACGCAGAGGACAGAGATGGATGGAGAGGGAGAAAGCGGGTGGTGGGCTGGAGTCTGGTTCTGCATTTCTCTCTGAGGGGTGCTCTCCAGGGGACATGCACGGGGCGGGCAGGGTGCCTGCGGGGGCCCAAGGGCCCAAGTACCTGGAGAGACCCCGACCCCAGAACTCCCTTGCAGCCTGTGGGGTGCTTTTCCCGGGGAGCCCCTTTATTGATTGATTGATTGATTGATTTAGTTTGTTAATCCTCATCCAAGGTTATTTTTGCATTGATTTTTAGAGCGAGCAGAAGGGATGCAGAGACAGAGAGAGAGTAACATTGATGTGAGAGAGAAACATCAATTGGTTGCTTCCTGTATGCGCCCCAACCAGGGCCAGGGATGCAGCCGGCAACCAAGGTACACATCCCTGACCAGGAATTGAACCCAGGACCCTGTAGTCCACAGGCCAACGCTCTACCCGCTGAGCCACACCAGCCGGGGCGAGAAGCCCCTTTAAGGGGACACTCGCCTGCACTGTAGGGTGTGTGCATTGAAGGACAGATTTCTTATCCAAAGGCGGAGTGCTGGCTGGGCACGAGGATGGTCCCTGTACGCCCCAGACACTCTCCACCCCAACAGTGCACCGGTGACTCGGGGTTCTGCCCCCCGACCTACCATGCCGCCCAGTCTCTGGGCAGGATGCTGGCCTAGAGGGGAATCTCCAGACCAGGAAACGGAACCACTGGGGTTCCCCGGAGCCCTGTCCGGGAACGCCCTGGAGACCGAGGGGGACACCTAGCTCGGCCATGAGGGCGGCAGCAGCTTATTTCTCCTCTTGGCCGAACCCCCCTCTCCCCCAGACATCGCCGGGGTGCAAATGCCTGGAGGCCGGGCCACGCTGGCTCGGATCAGGGTCAGGCCCTGCGTCCTGCTCACGGGGCCCAGAGCTAGGCCAATGCCCGCGGTGTCTGACTCCAGGGCCCCCGCCTGGGTAGACCGGAGCGCCCGAACCTTTGTGCCAAGAACCCCGCATGGGCCTGGGGACCCCGCGTGGGCCCGGCGATCCGCCCAGACACGGGGTCCCCGTCCCTCCCACCGCCCTCGGCCCTCGGGTCTCAGGCGACGGATGCCCCTTCCGGGACCTGCCAGGCAGGGGGGACCCAGGCCGGCCGGCCACACCGCTTTGCTGACCCATCTCGTCAGCACTGCTGGCCGTTCCCTGGCCTGCCCGCCATTCGCAGAATCCCCGGAGCTGGGAGCTGGGACGGGGTCCCTGGCCCACGGCAGCCCAGCCCCAGCCTTCTGAGCCCCACGCCCGTTCCCATCAGCAGGGCTGGGAAGCCAGGCCATGCAGGCCGCAGCCATGACTGCAGCCTTGTTCCTACCACAGAGCTCATCTTCCCCTTTTTCTCCAAGTCAGAGACTTAACTCCTTCCCCGCCACGCCCGGGGGCACCCGTCTCCCAGCACCCAGCTCCGGCTGGGCTACGGGGAGCCCTCAGGGCCACGGTCTCCCAGGGTCTCCCAGGGTCCTAGCGTGGGCAGGGCCCCTCCAAGTCATCTCTGGTGCCCAGTACCTCCTCCTGCAACTTCTGAGCCAGGCGGAGCCTCCAAACTCCCTTTAGGATGCGATGCCACCCTCCCCGGACCCCCGGGTGCCAGATGCCGCCGGTCCCAGCCCGGGAGGGGGCCCTGGAGGAGGAGTCTGGCTCCAGCCTCCGGCCTCAGCTGACTCCACTACCCCCCGGGGGGACACCTTCCCTGCCCCTCCATAGCGCGGGGGCTTCCTCTCCTGGCGAGAAGGGGTTAAAGCCTCCGGGCGGGGCTGGCGGGGCCCAGGCCCCCTCCCCAGGCCCTGGGGCCTCAGGGTCAGCCAC